TTCATCCTCGGTTAAGAGGGTGTCCAACAACTGATTCACATCTGCCCATGTCGGTAAATGAATAGAAAAAATGGTTCGAAACATTCTTTCTACCACCTCGGGGTTATCTTGAAGGCGCGGCATAGAACACTGCCAATTTAATAAGTCTGCAGTTGTGAATGGAGTGTGAGTAAGCACCATTTGATGCTGCCCAGTACTCTGGGGAACAGGGTAAGCTCGCAAAGAAGCTTGGACTGCTTTTGTAGTTACAGGGGACCCAAAAGGTGCCATGAAAGTTCCCGAGAATTCTCCTAAGGGTTTGGAAGGACCCGCTCCTTGAGCATCCCTCTTCACCTCTGTCTTCTCACTCTCTACCAGTGCTCTTGAGCTCCGCCTCGGCGGTACTCTCATTGGGATATACCCATCTTCTTCAGGTTGATTTTCTGGGGCATAGGGTGGGGGAGTTTTAACAGATTTTTCTATACAAATGGCTTCAAAGGCTGTACGTCCCTCGTTTGGTTTATAGTTATACCATATAAATAAATAATCCATTTGTCCCGGTCTAAGATCAACCAAAATCTCTCTTAAGGAATTCATCCTGTCTGCGGAAAAGGTTCCGCAGCTTGGCCAATCTTTAGTCGGGGACAAATGATCAGTAAAGGAAGGCCATTGAATTTGACATAAATTTCTCATTTTAGATTTAGCCAAACCGGTTGTTCCAGAGATTCCCTTCCAATCTCTGAGTATCAGAGACAATGGGGCGTCCCCCAGGCATTTACTGCCAAATTGTCCCATCTAGACAGTAAAGGGACTCGAACCCCACCTCTCAATGCCGAGCGATCGCTTACCTTCTCCAGGGACTCGAACCTCAAAGACCCGGATCCTACTCAACGGGTAGGTGGACGTTGCTGGATTTTTACAGGCTTCAGCTGGTTCGCAGAATACGCCTTATCGCCGACGCAGGGATCAGGTCACTGGGCAAGGCTCCTCGAAACCGGAGGATGCGCGCTACGTTGCTTCAGAATCTGATCCCGCGCCGGAGAGTCAGACGAGTTCCTTCATGGTTGCCAAATTTGTCGGGGACTCAGAACCCAGACGGCACGGTTTGTTGTCTGACCGCAGAGAGACAGGCAACACCAGCAAGGTCCAGTGACAAGCTCTTTATTGAGGAGTGCACACAACAATAGAGAGCGGCCCGTCTCCAGAGAGAACCAGCCACCGTTCTAACATCTAGTAGGGTTATATAGACAGTTCCATTGCGTCAGAAATGATTCAGTTAAAACAACCCGCATCCCACCCCCCTTTGTTAGCGAGAAACTTCTAGTATTCATGTATACCTATCCCCCTATACAAGCAGCCTTAAGCAATTCATAAC